TGGGGCCCCTGGAGTCCTGCCAAGGGAAATCTGCATTCTGTGCTCCCCTTTCTTCCCCGAAGTGCCTGTGTACCGTGACACACAGTGTGGGGAATGAACAGGAAGAGTCCGAGATCCATGGATGGTCGTAGGGCTGTGATAGCACTGCGATCAGCACAGGGATGTGGTGGAAAAGCACATGACTAGAATGCTCTCAGGGATGGCTGTGTACTTTTTAGGACAGACAGCAGTGCGAGGTGGTGGATTTGCTGACTATGTGAGACATCAACACATGGAATGTACAGAGCTCTGCCAAGGGATGCATGATGAAGTGCCAGGTCCAGTGCTTTTTGAGCAGAGCCCCAGAGCCCCATGCTCCTGGCCCCAGAGCCACTGTGGTGTCTGCTCCCAGCACTGCTGGCAGCACCACCCTTTGCTTTGCTTTCGGATCACTCAAAGGGATTTGGGGTAGAGCTGGGCCAGCACCAGGGACTGCAGGTAGCATCGGTGGCGCATGGCGGAGGAGCAGAAGGAGCGTGCTATTTCTGCAGGCTTCTGGCAGAGCTGTCCCTGACAGCTTTCCTTGTATGCCGTGGGGATTGGAGCCCACCCACATGCACTGTGTGCCAGTGCACTCCCCACTCCTGCACTTGGTATGCAATACGGCCCGTCTTCTCTTTCTCTTCCCTTTTGGCTTCCTAAACTTCCTTCCCAACCGCTTCCCAAATGTATGCAGTCTCAAAGGCATTGAGCAGTGCCTGTGCTGGCACAGGGGACATTGTGACGCAAGTGTCATTGCTGGCACTGCCACGCCATGGGGTGTGGGATTGGCAGAGGGGACAGGTGAGGGAGAGGAATTGGGATGTGACGGGGGGATATGGGAGCCAAAAGTGCAGCCTGAAGGGATGTGGCATGAGGCAAAGCTTTATTGGGAGGAATGTCACAAGCAGAGTCAGCACTCCAGCATTGTTGCTGACGTGGGACTTGTGGGGCCATCCATGTTCTCTGTGTGCAGGCGAGTGAAGTTGTTGTTGCCAACCCTGTGGGGAACAGAGGGGACATGTAAGGTGGTAAGTGCACAGCCTCTGGGTCACTGCCTGGGACATTGTGCCTCTGCTCTGGGCTCACCTGGTGGCTTTCCAGTCATCGCCAATGTTAGTAACATTTGACCGCAGCAGCCATATGGTCTTCAGGATCTCCTCGCCGTTCTCGTTTATGAAGCACTGACCCGTGAAGACAGTGGTGGTCTCTGTAGGAAAAGGGGCAGATGAGGGGAGTGGGGTCATGAGCTCCACACAGAGCAGGGCAGTGCCAGAGCCATGGTCCCTCTGCCCTGGAGACAACTCATCTGAGCTCTCCCTGCCCCTTGGGGACATCCCCAGCACTTCTCCTGATCCTGGGGACCAGGAGGTGACAGCAGTCCACAGTTCTGGGGGAAGGGATGGGGCTGCTGGGAACACAGCAGGGATGGAGCAGCACTGGGGCCATGAGAGGCAGGGCATGACTGGGGGGACTACGGGTATGGGTAGGAAATCGTCAGGGACATCACAGAGAGGAAGAGAGATCATCAGGGCCACCATATAGAACTGGAGGAGACCAGTGGGGACATCGTGGGGAAGGGCAGGAGAGCAAAGGGGATGTCACAGGGAAGGGCAGCAGAGGAACAGGGTCATTGCAGGGAGGATGGGAAAGAAAGAAAGCACCTATAAAAGTCCATCCAACCGTGAAGCCAAAGGTGGGCTGGCAGACCGTGATGTTTTGGATACCAAGCAGCGGTGACTTCGTGATCTTATTTGGCGTGTCTGCTACAGCTGTGTAGTAGGTGCCTCTGAACTCGCCCTTGTCATTCACAGCCTTGATGGTCATGTTGGAGCCCAGGTCGTTGGTCCAGTTCCCGGTCAGCGAGCACTGGGATGAAGGGAAGGACTCAGTGCCGGGCAGGAGACAGGGGTGGGCACCTAGGGGCACCCTCTCCCAGCCCCATCCCGTTACCTTTTTGGCAGAGTGTCTGGGAGCCAGCAGAGCCAGGCTGAGCAGCAGCAGCAGCAGGGAGGAGGTTGCGTGCACCATCTCTGCAGCAGGTGGACAGCCGGGTGTGCTGCTGGCAGGACTCATCCCTCCTGCACGCTCTCTCGCCTTTTTATTGCTCCCATCTCTGACTCTGCCCAGTGTTATGCAATCGGGGTGAGCCCACATCCAAATTTTCCAGTTGTGGGCACAACCCCAAAATTATGCTGGCAGGTCTTTTAGGAAGCTTGCAGAGATGGGGTCAGGAAGCCCAAGACCCAGCTGGAACTTCGGAATATCACTTGAGGACGAGGTGACACATGCTGAACGGTCCCCACTGTGCAATACAGTATTGGAGATAAGAAATATGCCATGCTCACTGAGGGCTCCTGTCGTACTGTGTGCAGGCACTGAAGACACAGGGCTGCTGGGTAGAATCCTATGTGACGACTTGCAGAAACTGCTGAAGAGAAGGTGAAATGGGCCAGGGTGCAGAAGTGGAGGCCACCCAACTGGCTGTAGGCATTGCTGAAAATGAGAAAAGGCCAGAGCTCTACCTCCGCACTGACTCCTGTTTGGTGGCCAGCAGCCTTTTGGAGCGGCTAAGCAATGCAAGCAAAACAACAGCCTGCACAGAGGCAAACCCATCTGGGCTGCTGCAGTGTGGAAAGACACTGCTGCCCCGGGAGAGAACAAGGCTGTTTTTCAGTTGGACCACTGTAGAATAGCAAAATAAGCGGCATGGTTTAAACACCCGCCCTCACCTTTGCACCTTCACACCTTTGCACTTGATAATAAGCCTTAAGTAGCTCCTGAGAGGGGGGAAGCTAGCTGTGACCAGGAGTCACATCAGGTGAGAAACCATTGTTTCTGCTCATTGAGAAAGGGGAGGTTCTGCAAGCAAGCACAGCCCACGCTTCCCATAGGGCGCTACATCTGTGCGTGTGGGAGCTGGGTCCAGTGGTGAGAATTGTGAGCTCTGCTCCCTCCTAGCTCAGGAGATCGGCTTTCCTTGGCAATCTCTGAGACCACAGGCTGAAGCATGGTCTCCTCTAGACAGCGGGCTCATTCTAAGAAGACCGTGGCGACGCAGACGGAAAGCTTACAGAGAAATGTTGCTGTTCAGGTCTCTGTCTGCCGGGAGTGCCTGAGCCTACTTCTGCCCGGGGAGAGTGGCAGGGACTTCACCTGAGCGAGGTGTGAGCAGGTGGACGAGCTGCTCAGCCTGGTGGTGGAGCTCAAGGATGAGGTGCAGAGACTTAGGACCATCAGGGAGTGTGAGCGGGAGATAGACTGGTGGAGTGGCGCACTGGCTTACCAGAGGGAAGGGCTCCAGGAACAAAACGCCAGACAGGTGGTGGACCCCCTGCCCTGTCACAGTTGGACAGACTTCACTGATGAGGAAGGTTGGAAAAGAGTCCCGACTCGGTGTCACAAGAGACACCCCTGCCTGCCTAGCCCGCCTCCACAACTCCCTCTAAGGAACAGGTTGCAGATGCTGGAAGTTGAAGGGGAGGTGACTGGAGAGCTGATGCAGGATCAGCCTAGGAGAGAGCCCAGGGCGAGGCGGTCACCCCAGGCCTTGAGGCTGCCTCTTATAGTTAAGAAAGAAGGGTGGTCGTGGTGGGTGACTCCCTTCTCAGAGGAACAGAGGGCTCCATATGCAGACCTGACCCGGGCCGTTGGGAAGTGTGCTGCCTTCCTGGGGCTCCGGTCAGGGACGTAACCAGGCAACTCCCCAAGCTGGTTGGGTCATCTGGCTCCTTTCTGCTACTCGTAGTTCAGGTGGGCAGTGATGAAAATCACTCAGACAAGCCTACGCACCATGAAAAAAGATTCAGGGGTTTAGGGCGTTTAGTCCAAGGAGCAGGAGCTCAAGTGATCTTCTGCTCTATACCTTCAGGGCCAATGAGGGACTCTGAGCGGGAGAGAAAAGCACAAGCAATGAATAATTGGCTTGGAGGCTGGTGTCGAGCCAGAAGCTTTGGGTTCTTTGATCATGGGGCAGTTTACTCGGCCCCTGGCCTGCTGTCTGCCTGTGGAACCCACCTATCTTGAAGGGGGCATGGATTACTAGCGAAGGAACTAGCGGGGCTTATTGAAAGAGCTTTAAACTAGCTATGAAGGGGGAAGGGGACAAAACAGGCCTCTCAAGAGATGAGCCTAGGGGAATGATGCTTGAGCAGGGAGTGAGGCAGATGACTCGTCTGAAATGTGTCTATACCAATGCACGCAGCATGAGCAACAAGCAGGAAGAGTTGGAAATGATTGTGAGTCAGGCTAATCATGACCTTGTTGCTATTTCCGAAACATGGTGGGACTACTGCCATGACTGGAGTGCTGAGATAGATGGCTACAAGCTCTTCAGAAGGGATAGACGAGGAAAGAAGGGTGGTGGTGTGGCCCTTTATATTAAAGACTGTTTCAGGTAGAAGGGCTTGGGGCTGGGAATGATAGAGTGGAGTGTTTATGGGTAAGGACCAGGGGGAAGGCCTGGGGGGCGGCATCTTGGCAGGGGTCTGTTATAGACCGCCTAATCAGGACGAAGAGTTGGATGAGGCATTCTATGAGCAGCTTGCAGAAGTCACGCGATTGCCAGCACTTGTTCTGATGGAAGACTTCAACTTCCCTGATATATGTTGGAAATATAATATAGTGCAGAGGAAGCAGTCCAGGAGGTTTCTAGACTGTGGAAGATAGCTTCCTTATGCAACTGGTAGGAGAGCCTACCAGGGGCAGTGCCCTGCTGGACCTGGTCTTTGCTAACAGAGAAGGACTGGTGGGAGAGGTGAAGGTTGGGGACCGTCTTGGGCAGAGTGACCACAGAATTGTAGAATACTCCATTCTTGGGGATGTCAAAAGAGTGACCAGCAAAACTACCTTCTTGAACTTCCAGAAAGCAGACTTTGATCTGTTCAGGGCGCTTGTAGCGCGGGTCCCTTAGGAGTCGCTTCTCAAGGGTAAAGGGGTCCAGGAAGCCTGGACGCTCCTCAAGACCAGAATCTTAAAGGCACAAGAACAGGCTGTGCTGAGTGCTGTAAGGCGAGCCGCAGGGGAAGACGACCGGTGTGGATGAACCAGGAACTATTGTTGAGACTCAGGGAGAAAAAGAGAGTCTACATCCTGTGGAAGAAGGGACAGACTAGTTGGGGAGATTACAAAGAAGTATCTAAGGTATGCAGGGAAGAAGTGAGGAAGGCGAAAGCCCAACTTGAACTCAGGTTGGCCTCTGCAGTAAAAGACAATTAAAAAATCCTTTTATAAATATATTAACAGCAAAAGAAGAACCAAAGATAATTCTCATCCTATACTTGATGCAGCAGGGAATGTGGTCACTGAGGATGAGAGGGCTGAGATCCTCAACTCCTTCTTTACATCTGCCTTTAATAGCCAGACCAGTTATCCTCCGGGCATTTTATGCCCTGATCTGGAAGTCTGGGACGCTGCTCAGAATATGCCCCCTGCAATTCCGCTGGAGACAGTCAGAGAGCTCCTCCTCCATCTGGACTGTCACAAGTCCACGGGACCAGATGGGCTGCACCCTTGGGTACTGAGGGAACTGGCGGGGTGATTGCTGAGCCGCTCTTGGCCATCTATCAGCGCTCCTGGTTAAGTGGTGAGGTCCCAGAGGATTGGAGGCTTGCTGATGTGACTCCCATCTTCAAGAAGGGCCATAAGGAGGATCCGGGGAACTACAGGGCTGTCGGCATGTGTGTGGTGTCCAGGGGATCAGGCCTATCCAGCATGGGTTCGTGAAAGGCAGGTCGTGCTCAGCCAACCTCATCTCCTTCTATGACTGGGTGACCAGTCTGGTAGATGAGGGAAGGGCTGTTGATGTAGGCTATCTAGACTTCAGCAAAGCCTTTGACACAGTCCCTTGCAGGCTTCTTCTGGGGAAACTGGCTGTCCGTGGCCTGGACAGATACACACTTCTTTGGGTAAAGAACTGGCTAGAGGGCCGTGCCCAGCGGGTCGTGGTGAATGGAGTTAAGCCCAGCTGGCAACCCATTTCAAGCGGTGTCCCCCAGGGCTCGGTACTGGGGCCCATCTTGTTTATTATCTTGATTGATGACCTAGATGAGGGGATTGAGTGCACCCTCAGTAAGTTTGTAGATGACACCAAGCTGGGAGGTGGTGCCGATCTGCATGAGGGTAGAGAGGCCCTTCAGAGGGATTTAGACAGGCTGAACCGCTGGGCTGAGGTGAATGGGATGAGGTTCAACAAGGCCAAGTGTCGGGTCCTGCACTTTGGGCACAACAACCCCATGCAGCGTTACAGGCTTGGGGATGAGTGGCTGGATGAGTGTGAAGAGGAAAGGGACCTGGGGGTGTTGGTTGATGCTCGGCTGAACATGAGCAGACAGTGTGCCCAGGTGGCCAAGAGGGCCAACGGCATCCTGGCCTGCATTAGAAATGGTGTGGCCAGCAGGAGCAGGGAGGTGATCATCCCCCTGTACTCAGCACTGGTGAGGCTGCACCTCGAGTGCTGTGTTCAGTTTTGGGCTCCTCACTGCAGGAAAGATGTTGAGGTCCTGGAGCGTGTCCAGAGAAGGGCAACAAAACTGGTGAGGGGTCTGGAGCACAGGGCTGATGAGGAGCGGCTGAGGGAGCTGGGATTGTTCAGTCTGGAGAAGAGGAGGCTCAGGGGAGACCTCATTGCACTCTACAACTTCCTGAAGGGAGGCTGTGGTGAAGAGGGATCTGGCCTCTTCTCCCAGGCAACAAGCAGGACACGGGGCAATGGCCACAAGTTGTATCAGAGGAGGTTTAGGTTGGACATAAAGAAGAACTTTTTCTCTCAGAGAGTGGTCAGGCACTGCAATGGCTGCCCAGGGAGGTGGTGGAGTCGCCGTCCCTGGCAGTGCTCAAGAGGCATCTGGACGACGTGCTGCGTGATGTGGTTTAGTGCTTGTGGTGGCAATGGTGATGAGGAGACAGTTGGACTAGATGATCTTATAGGTCATTTTCAACCTTGTGATTCTTTGATCCCATGATAACTAGCAGATGGATCGGGCCTCCAGAATTCAAGGGTTTCAGGTAGGTCTGGACTGGTGAACAAAGGC